AAGTACATACTCAAGCTTAAGTAGAAAGTTTAATTAAGTACTTAACGGTAATTACTTATTAATCGGTAATAAGATCGATACTAATTATTACCAGTGGTATTACTGAGTAATAACACCGGTAATAACGTTGTACCTTCAGTCTTAGCCAAAGAAATATTTGCTTCCTATGTATTTCAAATTTAAAAAATCCCAACGGTCGAACATAGCAATTTCCGAACGAACGAACGAACAACATTTTTTTAAAATAAATTTCGAACGAACGAACGAGCAAAAAAAATAATTTTCAACTTTTCGAACGAACGAACGAACAAAATAAGTTTTTACAAAACTTTCGAACGAACGAACGAACAAAACAATTTTTTTTAATGTTGTCGAACGGTCGAACAAGTGTTCGAAAGTGTTCGACGGCCAACACTAGCCTCGACTATATAAAATGTGACAAAGAGTTCCTTTTTTTTCTTCTTGACTGGCAAACATGTGGAGTGTTTACAATTCAAACGAACTTATGTTCGTGTTTAGCAAATGACGAGAGACAATTTACGAATCGCGAAATGTAAGCGATAACATTTCATGTCATTTTTAGTACAAGGAGAAAGCGCGAAGTTTGTTCGCTTTTTCTCACCACTCCATATAATCTACTGGATTGGGAAAAAAACATAATTCACTTGGACTAAATGGAATGGGAACGAATTTATGATAAAATGGTGATAGAAATGACGCGTAAAATGTTAAGATAGAGATAGAGTGTGTGTGAGTGAGAGTAAAAAAGACACCATCAAAGATTTATGGATAAACTATTCGACAAGTTCTATATTTATGTGTGTTCTTATTACCAATTAAGTATTATTAACTAACAAAAGAGAAATCATTTTGGCATACATTTCTTAAACAAGTAACATGTTGTTGTATTTTTTTGTTTGTTTTGTTTGGTCAATGGATGTTTGTAATTATTATTAACAGCAATAATGTAATCTGAAACATTTATATACAATCGTAATTGAAAACAGAAATGAAATGGAAAGTGCAATCGGTGCTAATATAAAAGTGATTATGTTAAGATACTTAAATTGAATTGAATCATGTTTTTGGCCACAGTTTTTCGCCATTCCATTTACAAGCGCGTTTATGTATCACATTAAAGTTATTATCACATTTATGTATTTTGTGTACGTTTTTTTTCCTTTTGTTTTTCATTCCCTCTGTTATTTCGTTTCTAGTTGAGTCAGTGTTGTTTCTCTTTGATAGTAGATGCATTGCAATAGTTTTTGATTGAAGTGTGTAGCACATTGCGATCGTTAGCTGAACTACTAAATTGTGCACTCGTGTGTTGCTCCGCTCGTTGTGTTCATGTTGGATGCGTTGCACGTTCACATGGAGCATTCTTCATGTGTCATCTGAGCTCGCGTAAGCGAAGCTCTTCCATGTACGCGGACAGTTCATCTTTTATTGCCATTTCGTTGTCGTCTCTTAAGCTACTGTTACTTATTGAATCGTTGTCGTTATCAGTACCGCCGCTGCCGCCTCCGCCACCGCCACCGCCACCGCCATCGCCACCATCAACAGCATCGTCAAGATTTTTGTTATTGTTGTTATTACTACAACTGCTACCAATGCCATTGTCATAGCGAACCAAATTTCGTTCATTTTGTTCGGAAATTTGATGAGCATCATTATTTGTAACAACAACGACCGGATTTAGGCGTACATTTATTGTGTCGACGGAATGGTTCGTGCGTGGACTATGATACCCGATGTGACGTGAGTGCAGTCGCCAACGTGAAATGTTTTGGAAGAAGCGAATTAGCTTTGATTCACTTTTCGGCTTTATCCTATTTGCGCAATTGATTGAAATACGGATTTCATGTGATTTATCGTTCTTTGTGCTGTCGCCGCCATCATTATCATCATCGTTGCGAGTGGGGTCAATCATTTGATTTTGTTTTTGGATGCGAGACACTTTGATGCCAGTGCTAAGCAATTTTTGTTTCGGCAATATGACGACCTTATTGTGATCACCGTATTGATTGTTTAAATCGAAATCAATTGACATTTTAGTTGACTGACATTGTGATACGGTCATCGAGTCAAAGGACTGCTTTTGAGTAGAGGTTGAGTATAGACAGTCATCTCGGATTGAACTACCTAATAATTGTGAAGGCGAATAAAAAAAAGAAGAAAATTGCAATTTGAGAACAATGGAATGTCTGAATTGTTCTGCTCATTCTTCAGCAGACAAACGATAATTGGTAGATTTTCCAAGAATTACTAGTTCAATGTTCCTATTCTTCGTATTTTTTTTTGATTACATTCGTACGTAATGTGTATACAACCGAATTCATACGCATTACAGTTTTGCATAAGGTTCTTTAATATAATGATATTCTTTAATAAATACATTTAATCGGCTTCGAATAACGACAAATAAAGACAAATAAAGACAAATGAAATTGTTTTCCATAGAATTCTTCAGATATTCCCATATCAAGCTAAAAACTTTAATTTGATTGAATTTTTCTTTCGTTTGAAAATATAAGTGTTTATAATTGGAAATCAATATGGGAGAATTGCTTTTGATAATAACGACAATTGCACTGACGTACGGCTGGCCATTGAACTAGTATTCTTTGGTACTTTTTATGGCGTACGAACCAGAATAGTCTCCTGACTCTTGATAACAGTTCCATCGTCGCTGGCGTCGGGAAAGCATTCGGTAGGTGCTGTACGAATGGTAGTCTCTCTTTTGTATTTTAAAGCATTTCGCCAGTGTTTCCTAAATAAAACAGACTGAAATTGAATTTGGTTCAATAAAAGGAACGGCAAAAGCAGAAACAAAAATAAATAAATAAATGAGAATAAAAACAACAATGGGGGAAAAACTTTGCTCTCTGCGTTTGCATCAATCGCGCGGCCGACTGTATAAATTATTTTGTTAAAATGTGGTTCAACTTTTGAGGTAGGGCATTTTCCATGATAATTTACACGTCATCAATTCAGACAAACAAGACGAATGAACAAACAAATTGTCGGTAAGATTAAAGCGCCTAAAGGGCATAAGCAAAATAAAATGATTTTTAACTTTGGCATCTCCATTGATGGATTGAAACAAAGAGATAAAACTGTATGCAAAATAAAAGTGCACTCTAATTGAAACTCGGTTCGAATGTCTAGACGAAAAATTTACATGTCGTTTGCCCTGAAAATAAAAAGTTATACCAGCTTCAATGCGCCATTGTTTGTGTTTCCGAAACATTTGAATGTTGACATGCAAGACGTGCCAGTTTATTGGAAATTTTACTAGTTTCTATTCTGTAGAAACGGGCCGTGTTTGTCAAGCCAGAAAATAATACTATAACGAATGCAGGAGGTGAGCATTAAATAAATGAAACAACTGAATGCCTGTTTTTGGTTCGAGACAAAACATGTATCAAATTTACATACCTTAAATGCTTCACGAAATTTATTACTCATAATATTGTACAGCAGTGGATTTATGCACGTTGATAAATAGTACAATATCCCCGAAACATATGTTGTAACAGCGTAAACGAACAACTGATTGTTCCCATACACAGCAACCATGCGCTGTGCATGGAATGGTGCCCAGCAAAGGAAAAACGCAAGCACAACCGCCACTGAAATGGTAAAGAAAAACAGACAAAAGTCAAATGCATGAAGTAACATTTGTAATTTCATTTACAGTAACGCTTTGAACATTAATTTTTGTTCACAAATCAGAAATGAACGATATCGACGGTGCGACCGAAGTTATAAACTATTTCAAAACAATCTCTTCAGCAAGCCATGATGCTTTTGACCGCTCGGCTCGTTCAGACGTTGAGTCAAAATTTTGCAGCAATGGTGAAGCGTACACTTGTACACTTTTGGCATCAATAATTTAGTGGCAAGGTTGATTACATTTTGGGTTTAAGAAAATTCCGTAAATTGAAAATATGAAAAGACATATCCGGAAAGCGTAGATTTGTACCTTTTGAACTACCATTAAGCATGCCATGAATAATAAAAAATTATTTTTCAATAATCAATTCAAATGACATGGTACTTTTGTTATTCCGAAGAGATCATTCGTTTTAAAATTAAGATTGATAAGTTCGAAACGCGCTCCACTTAAAGTCAATTCTCGTAAAATCCTAAAATTCATAGCTACGACGAAAATCGAAACAACCAATTCAATAACGAACATGAAATATGATTATAATTATAATATTAACATATTTTTGGAGTGGTAATGGGATTACTGAACACGTGAACTGATATTGTTCATTTACCGACATTTTATTGATTTGAAGCAGAATTTTGACAAGAACGGAATGTCTGAGCTTATTATTCCATGCGTGGCAAGCATATTTCATACCGATTACTAATGGAAATTAGTGTTATTGAAATGGAAGCAATTATATCGACAATAAGTACAATTTACGTGGAAGTTATTTTAATTGTAGATTAAAACAACAGAATTGACGTTGAATTGTGCGTCATTTATACACAGAAAAGAGGCCAAACACAAGAAAATATTCGGTTTATAAATACAACATTCCAGCTGCTGTAATCAGATTTTGTTTGATCAACTGCGCAAACAAAGCGTTTGTTGTGCGGCTTTTTCTTTATTCTTTTCCACTGTCGCGTTCTCTCTTCCAATTCGATGGATTTGCTGCAAATTGAAGACGTATGATAATTTCTTGTTGTGCGTAGACACAAAAAAAAAACTCACCAAGCATCTTTAATACACGTCTGGTACCCAAACTTGTTTGTTGTCGACATGTTGGGTTAACATGAACGCGCTGGTGTAACGATGCTCCATTCTCATGCTTTATTATTCCCGACGTTCGCAATTTTAAGCCGATTAGAATGTATAAAATGGTTATCAATGTCATTGGCGTTAAAAAAAATAAAACTGTTGACAATTCAAACGAATGCTGGATTATGACACGTTTAAGGACACAGTGATCGATATGATGTTGATCGGTGACAACGCCAAATTGCAATGCTTGCGGAATGGCTAAGCATACGGAGACCACCCAAACAATCAGGATTAAACGAACGGCTCGGCTGAGTTTTGACAATGACATGGTGTGCTGTAAAAATGGATGACAAATCGCCAAATACCGTTCCACTGTAAACGAAGTTATGGTCAAAACTGTTGCATTTGCCGATGTCTCGGCAATCAGACCGCGTGCTACACAAAAAAATTCACCAAATACATACGGGTACTTGTACCAAATTGAGTACACCTCTTGCGGAACGCCCGACAAAAGTAGCAAAAAATCGGATATGGCGAGACTGAAGAGATAATAATTGGTGGCGGTGTGCATCGAACGATTTCTTGATATGACAATGCACGTGCTAATATTGCCAATCACACCGGTTAAAAAAATCAGCATGTAAATAAAGGTTATCGGAATCACCACGTACAATGGATCTCGTTGAGGTCCGTAAATAAGTGTTAAATTATCAACATCGTTGGTGTCGAATGTCTGCAATAGCCGATAATCATCGGATGCCGTGGCAACGAAATTGTCTTCGCTGAATAATTTTGCCATTTTTCCATTAACAAAGTCGTTATTCATATCCATGTTATCTTCGGCTTGTTTCTTTCAGTTTTTTTTTGTTTTCTTCTGTCAACAGTGATAATGCGAGCGACAGGGAAGAAAAATTATCTGCACTCTTATTAGATGGCTCTTTTACGGTTGCCTCTAACTACCGCACTTCCCTGGTGATTATGATGATTATTTTTACGGGGCAAGTGATACACAGCAACACAGTATCTATTTGTGGCGAATCTTTTCTTATTTTTTTTCTGGTCCCGGAAATGTGCGGAAAATGATCAAACTCGATGGTGTGCGCTGTACAAAACGACGACGACGAGTTGCTTTGTTTGAGTTGCTTTTGTGTGTGACATATATTTTATCTCGTGTTAAATGTCATCCCGCTTGTAATCTGAAAGTAAAACGACACAAATGAATAAGAGGACGAAAGAAAAATAAGAACCAAATTCTTTCTGTTTGCTTAATTCCAAGAAACTTTGAGTTGGAATATATTATAATACTGTAGGAGGGAAACCAGATTGCGTCGTTTTTCCATTTTCTTCAGAGTGAAATAAATTCGAAAGAAAAGCACAATGCTCTTTTTCCAGGATGAAGCCTTTTATATGCAGCAGCAACAACAATTCAAGAAAAAAAACATACTAAGTAGACGGTACTTATGATTTTCACTCCTTTTTTATTCTTTTGCCAAGTGCTTTTTTTTAAATAGCAACGGGAAACAGCTGTTTTATGTGCGCTAAACTTTCATGAAGTTACTTTGAGTAGTTCGCTTTTTGTACAAATCTATTAAAGCAAATATGCGTACATATATTATTCCGAAAAGTTTCATTGTATGTAAGTCGAACGGAAATTGCGTACAGCTGTCGATTTTCTCCATCTCGAGTTTTTTTTGTCGTTCCTGATTATGGTAGAATTTTGATTTTGTCCCAAATAGTTGATTTGTTACGATTAATTTTTGTTGTTGATGAGCATCAAATCAGTGAGAAAAATATTTTCACTCCATTTACCAAAATAACGCATTCGAATCACCCGCATGCAATGCGAATTAAAGACGGACTTTCTTTGTCTTGAGATGAAGAACACCGTTGGATAATAAAATTGTTTGCCAACAAATCGTTCGATTCGATTGTGTGTGAGAAAAAATGGATGGAAATTCCATGAAAGCAAAATATCAATAGTTTGAAGCATGTTCGTTGTATTGGATGAGTATATCGCAGCAAATGGTGCTCTTGATGAAATTTAAATGATTCACTTTCAGTTAGATAGCCTAAACACGGGATTTCAAAACTAATTAATCTTGGTCTGGTTCCTAAGCCATTCTCTATATAGTACATATACATATTTAGTTAATTCTCGTGCTACATGAATAGAATGCATAGTGAAAGGAACCTAATTTATTTTCGTCGTAATATCGGAACGTTCTCTTCGGTGCTTCACTCAAACACCTCCAAATGTAATTAAGAATGCGTGGATACAGAAGCATTCTACCATTTGGCTTAAGTCAAACACGAATTTTCTTGTGTATTCGTTTTAATTTGTGTTTATTATTTTCGGTTTGTTGGTAATGTGGTCAGTTTTGGTGCAGTAAATGGGTGCAACGGTCGTGCGTCTTTGAATGTCTGTCTGCCTCTCTATCTGTCTTTCTCCTTCATTCAATTCTAATTATGAGCATCCAAACCAAATATAGAGCACACAGAAGAGGCGTTCAAAATCTTCGACTGAATTTAAGTGCGTGTTGGCTGACATGAAATTAAGTAATTTATTATCATTGTACAAGTGTAATTTAGCTCATCGACATGATGATCATGATTGGGTTTGACGTGCAAACCGTCGCGTCATTGAGAAAAGCTCATCTAACAGTTTTATCACTACACATATGAACGATTGACGCTAAACGCTCGGACAGACCACAGAGCGGTAAAGCGCGAATGCACTCAATCACTCTAAACAGCATTCAAGTGTAGTAGCAAAGAGCAGAATGAAGCGAAAATGGAGCTTGTAGCGCTAAAAGTTCATATGGGTATTGTGACATGATCTGTTAATGAATGGCCCACTGGATACAAATGAATTTCATCGTGCTAAGGGTTAAAGTGATGCAAGCTTTGGCCGAATATGAGAAAATTTATGGTCTCTAAAGCGCTGAAAATCGAAGAGAAGCGAACACTAATTCAATTATACATTTTTTTTCGCGTTTAAATCGCAACCACATTGCTTAACATTGAGTCACTTAATCAAAACATATGTACATCGACTAATGCCGCAGATTCTGATGGTTATCACGGTACGTCACACACTCAATTTCATTACGTTACGTCTGGCATATCTGATTACTTAAAAGCATTTGCGTCTGTTGTTGCGATCATTTTTCGAAAATATTAAGTGCGTAAAAAACATTTTATTTTGGCTTAAACTTCTCATTCACTCTCCACGACATCAAATTGATATGTAATTTCATGTTTTACATTAATGTGTGTTTTATTTATTTTAACATCATGATTGTTTTTTGCTCACATACATTTTTGTTGGACTTTCGTCGTTTTTCTTTTATTCTTGCAAAATGCGGAGAAATTTATTCATGCAAACATTGTTGTTGGTGTTCTTATTTTGGTTTCTGTTTCTTTCTTTCTCCTGATTTGTAACGCAGCACCACATAGCAGAAGAACCCATGCAGAACTTTTTACTGCTTTCTACTGGCTCCAAGAATCAGTTTGAATATAACGACTTGATTTTACCGAAAGTTTTTCAGAAGCTAATAATTCTGGAAACCGTTCGACGATATAAAGCCTAAATAGCATTTCACATATCTCGATAAATTCGTTTAGGACCTACGCACACATTAACATGGCATGAAAAATTTAATGTCGATTGCTTACATATTAACAGAAGCCATCCACATAGAGAAAAATACTTTATATATATGTATATAATATATATCGTACACATACCCGCTCTGTTCCACCCTCTTTGTCTATTGATTTATCGTTTATTCAACAGATACTTGCTTTAGATTGATTATTTATGGAGCAAATGCACGGTGCCAAATCAAGTACAACAAGAAATAATCATAAACGAAAAGAAAGAAAGTTCTATTCCGTTTACGGCTGCTTAAACAATAAATTGTTTTTATTTCCATTTCCTTTGTTAGCGAACTTTTTGCTTCTTTTTTTCTAAAATTGAATTCCGCCAACGTGGTATTTTCGAATGGAACTGAAAGCTAAATACTTAATTTTTTTTAAAAGTGGGGCACATTCCTCAACGGGAAAAAAATATGCACAAACCCAAGCGCGACTCCACACTTAGCTTCTAAATGTGACACCGTAGTAAGTGTGGGCATACGTTTTGCGAATAAGCGACAAAGAGAGTGGAAACAAGTGCGCGTGTATTAGTCGCTACATTGAGAAGCATCGCATCAAGCTACTCACTACCACACGCGCACTTGTTTCCATTCTCTTTGTCGCTTATTCGCAAAACGTATGCCCACACTTACTACGGTGTCACATTTAGAAGCTAAGTGTGGAGTCGCGCTTGGGAATGAACAAGATCGCAAGAAAAAAGAAAAGCGCCAACACTTCAATCGATTTTATAGCTTTACATATATTGTTAGAGGGTCTTATTGAAGAAAAAAAAAGAAAGCGTTTACATAATGAAGAAAAATAGGAAAAAAAAATACTGCATTTCTTCGCTCCGCTCTTCGCACTATTTAATTCGCACTACATGCAATTTTTGTCCTATGATATATGTATATTCCAGTGAAAAAATTCAGCCAACATAATATCTGCCCCCCATGCGTTATCTCCTAATGAGCTACAGCTATCTTGATTTTGTGACTGTCTTACCACAAAAAATGTGTTGAACTTTTTAATTTGTGACATATTTTCATGGGGAGCATTGAAATATTTGTCACGAATTCAAAGATTCAATGAATTTTTTGTGGTAAGACAGTCACAAAATCAAGATAGCTGTAGCTTATTAGTATATAATGCATTGTGCATAGTAGCACAGGAGCAGATATTATGTTGGCTGAATGTTAACTTTATAGTATATAGTATATATATATATATACATGATGTCAGGAAAACTGAATTATTTTTTTCTTAGTTATCCTAAAAATGAATTACAAGATTTAGATTTTATTTCTCCTATATCTAAAGGTCCAATTATATTTAAATAAATAATAAAATTGATAGATTTTATAAACTAAATTATAATTCAAAAAAAAATGGCTCAAAGTCCTTAAAATTTAGTGCTAGAAAAAAAACTAGAACAGTAGCTACTGCATTTCATGTAGTGCTAAACAGATAAAGGAGGAAAAGTAGACACGGCACAAGTATTTTTCACCATTTCAATTAGAGATCCGCACGGATCAATTCCCATTTATAGTATCAATTGAATCAATTAGAAATATTATTATCCGACCAATCACATTAACAATTCGATTAACAGCAAATATAATTGCAGGACATTTATTATTAACATTATTGACTGCGTTTACGGCACCAGTTCATGTGCTGAAAACTAAACAAGAATCAATTTCTGATCGGGTCAATTATTGTTGACTGGAAATCTTATGAATTCAAGCGTAATCATTTGCATTGAAACCCGAAATCATTTGTATTGAATCGATTCGACCGCATTGACAATATTTGACTTTGTGTTTGTGTTTGTGTTTGTGTGTGTGCTTGCGTTCACTACAGTCAATATTCCACAGATGTTACCATGCTGGAATATACTTTCGTAATGAAAATTCAGGGAAACAATCTGAACATTTGTTTACATTACAAATGTAATGATTTGTGTGGAAAAATCAGTCATGTCCTTTCGTTTAACAGCAGTTACGAAGCGTTTGTATTCGTTTTGAAATTTATGGATAAACCGTGTGGGTGGAAATAAATTGGAAAACGCTGAAAAAACGTTTTTTGCATTCAAATGATTATTAATAATAATAAATGTTGCTGAAGTTACATTGCATAAAAGTTTATGCCCACAATGCCCCGATTGGCGTGATAAAAATCGTTGAACAAAACTGATCCCCCAATATCCATGTATATTTTTTTCTTGATTTATTGTTTGGGAAAAACTGCAAATGCGCCTGCCACTTGCACTTCTAACGGCTCGGCTATTACACACCCATTTTCCCATACGGTTCGTTAAATTGGATTTGTAGCACATACAAATGTGGTGAATCACCGGTGGTGATAAAACTGACTGATTTTTTTGGTCGTATAGACGAAGTTCAAAGAACTAAAATCACAAAATCGAAATCATAACGCTTCAAGAAGACAGAAAAAAAGGCTTGGTAAAATTGTATGAATAAATTGCTGCAATTGACAGAGGTGCTGTGGCCGTGCTTCGAGGCGAGTGATAAGAAGATATTAAAGATTTTTCTCCTTTTGA